GAGGGAAGGAAGAGTGGGTTTTGGGACTGGGTCCAGTTTACCCTCACCCTGGAGTCCCTGGAGCATGGGACCTTTGATGAAGCCTCCTCCCGAATCTCTTCCAGGGCAGCCGTGAACTTCAAGTTCCATGTGAGTATCCACCCCTACAACAATTGGCTGTACAGACATCCTGGGAAAGCTTCTGGGGACATCCCCTCCCTACCCCTGCTGCAGGGCTGCCCCAGCCCTTAGGGCTTCCACTCCCCCTGGCTTACCCTACCTTTGTTCTCTCCAGCAGACTGTGGCTGTCTAAATGGAGGAACATGTATGTCCAATAAGTACTTCTCCAGCATTCACTGGTGCAACTGCCCAAAGAAATTCGGAGGGCAGCACTGTGAGATAGGTATGGGGATCTCCACTGCAACTGGGAGTTAGGGGGCACCAAAAATTTGGGGACAGGGAGGGATGGGTGGGAGGCAAGAGCAGGCAGGAGTTAGGAGCTGGAGGTGGGGTGGGTGACATCTTCATCCCTATGTGGCAAGCATAAACACACACACTCCTGTGAAGCAATGGCCACACAAATGTGAGGTGCGGTTGGAAGGAGAACCTGTTCAGTCTTCTGGCAGGTCTGAAACCACATCATCTTTAAAATGTCCGTTGGCAGCTGGGCGTGGTGGCTCACGCTTGTAATCCCAGCATTTTGGGAGGCCAAGGTGAGTGGATCATTTGAGGTCACGAGTTCAAGACCAGCCTGGCCAACATGGTGTAACCCTGCCTCTACTAAAAATACAAAAATCAGCCTGGCATGGTGGTGGATGTCTGTAGTCCCAGCTGCTTGGGAGGCTGAGGCAGGAGAATCGCTTGAACCTGGGAGGCAGAGGTTGCAGTGAGCTGAGATCACAACACTGCACTCCAGCTGGGCGACAGAGCAAGACTTCGTCTCAAAAAAAAAAAGCTCGTTGGAACGTCCTTCTCTTTCTCACATTCTCTCATCCTCCTGTCCCCTCGTAGATAAGTCAAAAACCTGCTATGAGGGGAATGGTCACTTTTACCGAGGAAGGGCCAGCACTGACACCATGGGCCGGTCCTGCCTGGCCTGGAACTCTGCCACCGTCCTTCAGCAAACATACCATGCCCACAGATCTGATGCTCTTCAGCTGGGCCTGGGGAAGCACAATTACTGCAGGTGAGGTGGGGGCAACAAGGACCAAGAGTCCTCCCCACAGCTTCCCAGAAACCTTGTTACCATCCCCTTCTCCCAGAGGGCCGGCCATAGCATGAGAGAAGTGCAGTCTCTGGTTGAGTCTTCCCTGAGGGGAGGAGGCAGGGAAGGCCCTCTGGGTTGGAATGACATCCCCTATCTTTCTGTGTTGTCAGGAACCCAGACAACCGGAGGCGACCCTGGTGCTATGTGCAGGTCGGCCTAAAGCAGCGTGTCCATGAGTGCATGGTGCATAACTGTGCAGATGGTGAGCATCACTGACCTGCTGATGACAGTGGGGTGGAAGGGGACAAACTCGCATGTCCCCTTATTCCATCACAGGAGGGTTGAGGAGGTGAGGGGCGCCCGAGAGGGATGCTTTCTCCTAACTGCCTCCCCAAGACATCCCTCTGTTTGTCCTCCAGGAAAAAAGCCCTCCTCTCCTCCAGAAGAATTACAGTTTCAGTGTGGCCAAAGGACTCTGAGGCCCCGCTTTAAGATTGTTGGGGGAGAATTCACCACCATCGAGAACCAGCCCTGGTTTGCAGCCATCTACAAGAGGCACCGGAGCGGCTCTGTCTCCTACATGTGTGGAGGCAGCCTCATCAGCCCTTGCTGGGTGGTCAGCGCCACACACTGCTTCATGTACGACCCTGGGGTTTCTCCTCTTTGACTCTTCTGCCCCACCCCAAACACATCCCCTTCTCCTTCCCAGCAAAGGGTTCCGCCTCATTTCTCCCTCGTCTGCCCCTCTCCTTGCAGCCCATGGCCTTGGGGACAAGTCATGCTTTGAGGCCTCTAGGGAGGGAAGGAAGAAGTGGCAGGATTTCATGGGACTAGGCTGTCTGATGGATTTCTTCTCCCACAGTAATCACCCAAAGGAGGACTACATCGTCTACCTGGGTCGCTCAAGGCTTAACTCCAACATGCAAGGGGAGATGAAGTTTGAGGTGGAAAACCTCATCCTACATGAGGACTACAGCGCTGACACGCTTGCTCACCACAACGACATTGGTGAGGGGGAACCCCGCGACTGCTGTGGCCATGATGGCTTGGGGAGAGTGGGACCCAGGGAGAGACCGGAGCTGAGGTTGAAGCTGTCTGGTGGGGCAGGGGTGGGGTGGGGGACCTTGAAGCCTCAATATACATGACAATATACATGACAAAGGTGGTGGGGAAGAGTTCCATAAAGTCTGAGGGGTCCGGTGCTCCTGTGGAGAGACCCTGAATTTCCCCAACAAGTAGCCTCTTGCGAGTGGAAATGGCTCTGTGGGTATATGGCTTGGGCTGGGAATGCCCTGTTTATACGAATTAGAAAAAGACGCCCCTTCCTTTGTGGAATGTAGCCTCTGTCTGTGTTGGGATGTAGAACTTGGAGAATGGAGCTTTGGGCTGGATTCCAGCCTAACTACCTCACCTGGGACTTTTTGCAGAAACTACCTATAAAGGTGTATGCAGTGGCTCTGGCCATCCAAGACTTTTTCAACACCTGTAACAAAGCCCTTGGGGCATGGGGCAGGGGAGGTTTCCAGGTGATAAGCGACCAGCAGACCTCCCTGGATGACTGACCTAGGGATAGACATAGCTACTTCCTTGGTACTTGAAGGGGACAGATGGGGACCACCTAACCAGTAGTGATCTTTCTCCTCTCATCCTCTGTCCTCCCCCAGCCTTGCTGAAGATCCGTTCTAAGGAGGGCAGGTGTGCGCAGCCATCCCGGACTATACAGACCATCTGCCTGCCCTCAATGTCTAATGATCCTAACGATCCTAACGATCCCCCTCCTGGCACAAGCTGTGAGATCACTGGCTTTGGAAGAGAGAATTCTAGTAAGTGAAAATTGGGACTGACTTAGGAGGTCCTGGGGAGTGTTTTGACCTGAAAGCAAGCCCAGCATGATCAAGGGAAGACTGCAGAGTTAGAGATGGGAGCACTGAGGAGGTGGCAGATGGGTCCAGGGATGGATGAGGACTGTTGTTTAGGGAGTGATGGGCTGCAAAGGTAAATAGATGGTAGGGGCTATAGGTGGAGTAAAGGCTCAGATTTGCATGGAAAAGAATAAGGGCCTTCCCTGGTAGAGACACTTTATGGTTCCCCTCCCTGGCAGACTCCCAGTGGACAGATAAATCTTGACGCAAATGCCTCCCTGTTTTCTTCGCTTAGCCGACTATCTCTATCCGGAGCAGCTGAAAATGACTGTTGTGAAGCTGGTTTCCCACGAGAAGTGTCAGCAGCCCCACTACTACGGCTCTGAAGTCACCACCAAAATGCTGTGTGCTGCTGACCCACAGTGGAAAACAGATTCCTGCCAGGTGAGAGTTCTAAGCATCTCTCTCCATCTCTTCCATATCTCCCCAGAACTCCTGGGCTTGTCCCAGCCAGCTTTGGGGTGTCTCTCTCTAGCCAAAGCCCTAAGTAGCCAGAATCAGGAGCTCAGGTCTTTGAGGGTTTAAACCAATGCTTGTGTGTTTACCAAACATTACCAAAAAAATCCCAGCTCTGTGCTAGTCGCTTAAGACTGGGGGCACGAGATCCTAGAAAGAGGAAACAGTAAAAGACAATGTAACTCAGTGCCCAGGGTGCGTTGTGAACTATAAATGATCAGGTGTTCAGGAGAGGGAGGTGAGTGTCAACTTGAGGGTCAGGGAGGGGAGGCTTTAAAGGAAATGTGACTTGATAGGCATTTGAAGAGGCAGAAGGAAGAAAGGAGGGTGTTTCAGTTGAAAGATACAAAACTGAGTAGGAGGCTAGCATATTCCGGGTGGGGAGGAAAAGTAGGGTCTGGGAGTATGGATGGAATAGCAGCAGACGACAGGGGTTTTAAAACCAAGCAGGGGATTTTAAACTTGATATGGTAGAAAATGGGGCTGTGCCAGGCACAGTGGCTCATGCATGTAATCCCAGCACTTTGGGAGGCTGAGGTGGGTGGATCACTTGAGGCCAGGAGTTTGAGACCAGCCTGGCCAACATGGTGAAACCCTGTCTCTACTAAAAATACAAAAAAAAACTAGCCAGGTGTGGTGGTACATGCCTGTAATCTCAGCTAATCAGGAGGCTGAGACATGGGAATTGCATGAGCACAGGAGGCAAGTTTGCAGTGAGCCGAGACAGTGTCATTGCACTCCAGCCTGGGCGACAGAGGGAGATTGTTCCCCCTGCCCCCCAAAAAAAGAAAGAAAATGGGAAGTCACTAAGGACTTTGACTGGGAAACTCTTCCCTCTCTCAGGTATGGTTGGGTGGTGGGATCAGAAACCCCCTCCTCACTTCTCTAGGGCTCATCTTTTGTGTCTTTGGCTTCACAGAGAGACTCAGGGGGACCCCTTGTCTGTTCCATCCAAGGCCACATGACTTTGACTGGAATTGTGAGCTGGGGCCGTGGATGTGCCCTAAAGGACAAGCCAGGCGTCTACACGAGAGTCTCATGCTTCTTGCCCTGGATTCACAGTCACACCAGGGAAGAGAATGGCCTAGCCCTCTGAGGGTCCCCAGGGAGGAAACGGGCACGACCCACTTTCTTGCTGGCTGTCATTTTTGCAGTAGAGTCATCTCCATCAGCTGTAAGAAGAGACTGGGAAGACAGGCTCTGCACAGATGGATTTTCCTGTGCCACCCACCAGGGCGAACAACAATAGCTTTACCCTCAGGCATAGGCCTGGGTGCTGGCCGCCCAGACCCCTCTGGCCAGGATGGAGGGGTGGTCCTGACTCAAGACGTTACTGACCAGCAACTTGTCTTTTTCTGGACTGAAGCCTGCAGGAGTTAAAAAAGGCAGGGCATCTCCTGTGCATGGGTGAAGGGACAGCCAGCTCCCCTGATGGTGGGCATTCATAAGGCCCATGATTGAGAAATGAATAATTTCCCAATTAGGAAGTGTAACAGCTGAGGCCTCTTGAGGGCGCTTAGCCAATATAGGAGCAGCAGTTTGGGGAGTAGAGACACTAATGATTTCAGGGCAGGGCTCTGATATTCCATGAATGTATCAGGAAATATATATGTGTGTGTATGTTTGCACACTTGTGTGTGTGCTGTGAGTGTAAGTGTGAGTAAGAGCTGGTATCTGATTGCAAGTCTAGATATTTCCTTAAATTGTGTGGACTGTGATGCCACATAGAGTGGTCTGTCTGGAGAGGTAATAGGTCACTCCTGGGGCCTCTTGGGTCCCCCACATGATAGTGCCTGGGAATGTATTATTCTGCAGTATGACCTGTGACCAGCACTGTCTCAGTTTCACTTTCACATAGATGTCCCTTTCTTGGCCAGTTATCCCTTCCTTTTAGCCTAATTCATCCAATCCTCACTGAGTGGGGTGAGGACCACTCCTGTACGCTGAATATTTATATTTCACTATTTTTATTTATATTTTTGTAATTTTAAATAAAAGTGATCAATAAAATGTGATTTTTCTGATGACAAATCTCCCTGATGCTTGCATGGGAAGGTGTTGGAGTACATAAAAAGGAGAAAATAACAAAAGTGGACTGCACCCCAGAGTTTCTTATGGGACTTCATCTCTGGACTTAATGGAGCTTTGGGAGGTACAAGTTAGGAGAGCTGTAGGGCAGGGCCACCGCAGCACTTAAGGTATACGAAGTTTCCCCAAACCACAATCCCATGGCTGTGAAAGTAGTGTGCAGGCTTAGTGTCAGCTCCCAATTGCCTCCTTAGCCTGATACCTTTGTGCAGTGCACATCTTGTACAGCTGTACATTGTGGTCTTCTTTAGGGTTAACTCCACAACATTCTCTTCCCTCTGCCCCCAACAATCCTTGAGCTGACCTCAACCAAGGAGAACACCTTGGTTCTCCTTGGTGCAGTGGCTAATGCCTGTAATCCCAACATTTTGAGAGGCTGAGGTGGGAGAATTGCTTGAGCCCAGGAGTTTGAGACCAGCCTGGGAAACTTAGTGAGACCCTGTCTCTGCAAAAAATAAAAAAAATTAGCCAGGTGTGGTATCACACATCTGTAGTCCTAGCTACCTGGGAGGCTGAGGCAGGAGGATCATAAGCCAAGGAGTTCAAGTTTACAGTCAGCTATGATTGTGCCACTGCACTCCAGCCTAGGCGACAGAGCAAGACCCTGTTTCAAAAAAAAAAAAGAAGAAGAAGAAGATGACCTGTAAGTGAAAATTGCTGGCTGGGCTCGGTGGCTCATGCCTGTAATCCAGCACTTTGGGAAGCCGAGGTGTGTGGATCACCTGAGGTCAGGAGTTTGAGACCAGCCTGACCAACATGGTGAAACCCCATCTCTGCCAAAAATACAAAAAAATTAGCTGGGTGTGGTGGTGGGCACCTGTAATCCCAGCTACAGGCTGAGCTGAGGCTGAGGCAGGAGAATCATTTGAACCCCCGGAGGCAGAGGTTGCAGTGAGCCGAGATCGCGCCACTGTACTCCAGCCTGGGCGACAGAGGGAAGACTTTGCCTCAAAAAAAAGAAAAGAGAAAGAAGGAAGGGAGGGAGGGAGGGAGGGAGGGAGGGAGGAAGGAAGGAAAGGGAAAGGGGGAAATTGCTTATTCAGAAGGAAGGAAGGAAGGAAGGAAGGAAGGAAGGAAGAAAATTGCTTATCCAGAATACCAGCTTGAGTCTGTGGCATTCAGGAAATAGAAAACATAATTCCCCATCATCTGTGTGTGGGGCTGATGCTGGAATTTTCCCAGTGTGTTGACAGAGCTTGTGACCAGCCATTGCTATGCTATGATTAGGGGGCCCAGAATCTCAAAGCAGGATGATGTCCTAATGGGGGTGACCATATATTTTGAACAAAACATCAAGTTCTGAAAAACTGGGGTATAGAAGGCAGGTTGAGAGATAATTGGGTATCAAAAATTAGAATTTCCAAGCTGTGTTAATGGGTTTGGGCAGCGTTTCTTAATCGAGTCAGCTGAGGACCTTTTAAAATATGCACACCTACACTCCACCTGTAGAGATTGTGATTCAGGTCAGGGCTGGTGCCAGGTCTCGTGGTTTTAGAAAAGCTCCCTGGGTGTTACTGACATGCACCACTGATTGACAGCCTTGGGGGACAATTGGTCAGAATATATGAAGGGCCCAGAAAAATTCCAGATATGGTCAGCATGAGTTTTCTGCATGAACAGCCCGTTTTCTGAGCGGGGTTTGGTGGCACAAGGTCTCCTGGATTCCCTGGTTAGAGGCTTTCTGGACCGTGCTTCCTTAGAGGATAAGAACTCCAAATATTGGCTTTTTCTTTTTTTTGAGGCAGGGTCTCTCTCTGTCACCAGGCTGGAGTACAATGGCGCAATATCAGCTCACTGCAGCTTCTGCCTCCCAGGTTCAAGCGATTCTGCTGCGTCAGCCTCCCAAGTAGCTGGGATTATAAGCATGCACCACCACTACCTGTCTCATTTTTGTGTTTTTGGTAGAGACAGGGTTTCACCATATTGGCCAGGCTGGTCTCGAACTCCTGACCTCAGGTGATCTGCCTGCCTCGGCCTCCCAAAGTGTTGGGATTAGTATTCGACTTTCGATCTCCATCATCTAGTGTGCTGTTTTACACAGGTTGATGCAGTGGTTCAGAGGATGGATTTTGGAGTCCGGTGGCCTGAACTAGAATCTAACACCAGCTGTGTGACTTGAGAAAAATTATTAGCCTCTCTGCACCTCAGTTTCCTCATCTGTACAAAAGAGATGATACAATCTACCTCCCTGGGTTTTTATAAGGATTCATGAAGGCTGGATGCAGTGGCTCAGGCCTGTAATCCCAGTGCTTCGGGAGGCCGAGGCAGGCGGATCACCTGAGGTCAGGATTTTGAGACCAGCCTGACCAACAAGGTGAAACCCTGTCTCTACTGGGGCGGGGGGAGGGGGGGGGAATTAGCTGGGCGTGGCGGCACATGCCTGTAATCCCAGCTACTCGAGAGTTTGAGGCACGAGAATTACTTGAACCTGGGAGGTGGAATTTGCAGTGAGCAGAGATCACACCACTGCAATCTAGCCTGGGCAACAGAGCAAGACTCCGTCTCAACAACAACAACAAAAAGGATTCATGAGTTCATAAGTCCCTTAGCATAATACTGGCACCTAAAAAAAGCATAAAAACGGTGGTTATTATTACAAAGCTAAGTAAATTCTTGTAGTATCAGATCAGATGGGAACCTCTCCCTTCTCCCACCTCAGAACTGCACCATTTTGTGGGAGTGGAAACTTGCTAGGAAGCTGCCCAGGCGGAGTGGCCGCTCAGCTTCTGCCTTCCCCTAAGGGGCCAAGAAAGATCTTGTTCAAACTTGAGCAGCTCCAGCATCAGGGCTCAGAGACACTGAAAACAGGAAGTATGAGCCCTACTGGCAGGGTTAAGCAATGAGGCTGTTAACAATCTTCAGGCCATTTCCCAGCCAACACCTCGACCCCTAGTCAGCTGCTGTCTCTTTGCCTAATAGATCTCACCCCAGGCGAGCAGGCATCAGCCGCTTCTCCAGCAACCAGTTTCACAGCTCCAGATTCTCACTCCAGAGACTGCCTCTTACTAGTGCCTCCATGATCAAGCACTGTGCTTTTTCTTTTCTTTTCTTTTCTTTGAGATGGAGTCTCGCCGTCGCCCAGGCTGGAGTGCAGTGGCTCAATCTCAGCTCACTGCAACCTCTGCCTCCCAGGTTCAAGTGATTCTCCTGCCTCAGCCTCCTCAGTAGCTGGGATTACAGGCGTGTACCACCACACGTGGATAATTTTTGTATTTTTAGTAGAGATGGGGGCGGGCTCACCATGTTGGCCAGGCTGGTCTCGAACTCCTGACCTCGTGGTTCGCCCACCTTGGCCTCCCAAAGTGCTGGGATTACAGGCGTGAGCCACCGCACCCAGCCTCGTCTATCAGAATTTTAACCGTCTCCTAGATAACAATTCTTTCCTCCTAGAAGATTCCCAGACCAGGTGAGGAGACCACACTCAGCCACTGGTTTCAAAGTAAAACTTCACTGTTCTCACCGTAACCTCAGCATTTCTGTTGCAACCTGGTTTCATTGAAGTGGTTTCCGTTTTCACCAGAACCCCTCTTTCTGAAGTATTCTCAGCCCATTATATTAACAGGACTCAGCCTGCATTCCACGTATGCCCTATCTTTCCCAAGTTGGTAGCAGCTGCACCCCGGCATATACCCCTCCATACTCACTCCCATTGGGTCCACCATCCTTCCCAGCAGGAAACACTAAGCCCTCCCTTTGAATTAGATGAAGTAAGAGGAGTTGCTGAGGTGTATTTAAAAATCATTTCTGGGCCAGGTACAGTGACTCACAGCTGTAATCCTAATACTGTGGGAGGCCTAGACGGGAGGATTGCTTGAGCCCAGGAGCTCGAGGCTACAGTGAGCTATGATTGCACTACTGCACTCCAGCCTGGGCGACAGAGCAAGACCCTGTCTCTAAAGAAAAAAAAAAAATCAGTTCTATTGAGATATAATTCATATATCATACAACTTACCCATTTATTCTTTCTCTTTTCTAGAGACAGGGTCTTGCTCTCTGCCCCAGGCTGATTGTAAACTCCTAGGCCAGAGTGATCCTCCCACCTCAGCCTCCTGAGTAGCTGGGATTACAGGCTCATACCACCATGTCTGGCACCATTTAAAGTGTACAATGCAATGGTTTTTAGTAGATTCACAGAATTGTGAGACATCACAACCAATTTTAGAACACTTCATCACCTCACAAAGAAATCCTGTACCCACTAACAATCACTCCCTTTTTCTCCCTAACCCCCTCAGCCCTAGACAATCACTAATTTACTTTCTTTTTTTTTTTTTTTTTGAGGCGGAGTCTCGCTCTGTCGCCCAGGCTGGAGTGCAGTGGCCGGATCTCGGCTCACTGCAAGCTCCGCCTCCCGGATTTACGCCATTCTCCTGCCTC